AAAAAGGGGATGAGTAAGATTTCAAAGTAGATGTTTTCGAAAAGTACTATAGTTTTAAATAATATTAATAATAACATTAATAATGTTCATTGTGTCTTGCTAGGACTCTATCCAATTGAAGATAAACATAAGCCCATATGGACTCTTGCTATCCGCGCGAGTTCCTACCCCCACCTCGCGCACTTCCTACCCCCACCTCGCGCACAAATGCACGTACACACACACACACCCGGGTCGAGGCCGCGCGGATCCCGCCTGCTGCGAAGCGTTTCCTTTGTCCGTTCGTGCCCAAGCGGCAGCGGGTTTCTCCAGGCACAAACGAAGATGCGCCTTAGCGTGATAGTCTCGGCGAAAGCCTTCCGCGGAGACCGCAGGGCTCCCTCAAATTCCCAAGACAGCCTCCATCAGGAGTCCTGAGGCGGGTCTAGCCCGACAGAACGGTAACGCACTTGGCCCACGCATCAGTTCGTTTACCTTATTAGAGAGAAAGTCACTCTTGGACATAGGACAACCGGTCAGTGTCTAATTTGAGCAAAGGGAGCCTAATACGGGGGCCGGGCCCTGATCGCCTGTTGTCTCCGCTAAGGCGGGACTGGAATCCAGCTTTTCCTCCAGGTCCAGCGCTCCACGAGGCGGCCGGGCCGTTTCAGTCTCGGAGTGGGGCACGCTCCGCCCGCGCCCCTTCGCCTGGGGACGCAGCACAGGTGCCACCTCCCAGCAGAGTCCAGGGCGGGATTCAGGAGGAGGGCGCGCAGCCCCTGGCTCCTTCGTCGCGGCTATGAATCGAGAGAGGGCTGGACTGGTTCCTTCCCTATGCAACCCGAGTTGTCCTGGCCTGCCCCCGAACTTCCCCTGGCTACTGTGCCTCCTACCTCCTTCCCGAGGCAAGAGAGGCACCTCTCTCCCTCACCTTCATTCCTCCGCCTGAAGGAGGCCTAGGAGAGTGGGGGGCGGGGGGGCGGCGGAGACCACAAGAGTCTGGAACTTCAAGTTCAACTGCCAAGTCCCTGTACCCTTCCCCCAGAGTGGGCGGCGACAGAGTTACCTTTCCCGCACAGCCTTGTGGAGACAATCGAGTTCTTACTGTCCCCCTCCCATTTGGGGACATTTTAGGGGAACGTCTCCTCTGACTCCTCCTCCCCCACATTTTGACCCAGAGCTAACTGGTAGCCAGGAGAGGAAGAAAAACTGACTTGGGCTCCCTATTGGATGATTTAAATCTCTTTCCAGGAGGCCCGCGCCTAGGGGAAGGGCAGGTGTCAGGCCGACAGCCCTCCAATTCCCCGCGCCCCCCACCTCTTTCCTGGAGATCTGTTCTGGTGAGTGAGAATATGGTATATATTTATTTCCAAAACAATGAAAATGGCCATCCCTCCGCCGCTGAGCTATACTGCAAGTTTACGGTAACGGGTTCATTCATCTATTTCTCGGTTGTAACTATTCGGCGTCTGTTAGACAGGAGGAGTGTCGGAGCACGGAGTGTTTCCCCCAAAGGAAACCTAATTCAAGTGCAGCACTTAGGACGTCGAATAAAACTTTAATGAAGGGGAGGAGGGGCACTGGAGACGCTGAGGGCCTTTTGCCCCGCGTTGGGGGAGGGGAGCCGGCGCCCCCCGGAAGACTAGATAGAGGCTAGATCTTGGCCTTTTTCCAGCCGCAGAGGAACTTCCGGCGCTGAAATTACTCCTAGTATGAATGGGGAATGGGGAAGCGGCTTTCATAGTCTCTCCATCTCGGTTTCGTGAGTTTGCAGCGCTAGTAAAGGACCTCGGAGCTGGAGTGTCGGGTTTGCTCTCAGCTGGGCAGCTGCGGGGACGTGCTTTCGAAATAAGCTTGCAGGAGTTGAGTCTACGCACTTCTCCACCAAAAAAACACCCCAAACCAACCCCGCTGCCTGGAGATTCGGAAGCATAACGACAGCTAGAACTGCCCCATAGAGTTTCCAAGGCTGTCTTTATGGAAGCCGACAGCTGGTGGGTTGGAACCGCAGACTTTTCGATTAGCGGCCAGATACCACCGTACCAGCAGGGCGTCTCACTTCACCGCCACTACCACCTTAATTCGGCCTTTGGAATGATGAGTGATTTCGATCATGGAACCAGCGTCGATGCGGCCTGTTTCGTTTCTTGTTGATTCCACCAAGGGGAGGAAGCGTTTGCTCCGAAGGAGGGGAAAGGCTGGGGGGGGGGGGCAGTAAAATTACTCCTTGTGGGAGACAAGGCGCCTACTGTCGTTTCCGTGTGTGCCTCTGCGTTTATTTGTTTATTTAATGTCGGGGTTTAACTATTCGTGAAGGTTGTGGTCACATGTCTGTTTGAATATTTAGCAAAGCACTCTCTAGCTTAAAATAGCCATATTTCCAAAGCAAATCGCTGGTGGGAGTGAATGCAGTGGTGTGGACTTTGCTGTAATTTAGGCACTCCCGGGAATTCAGAATGATCAGTGTGGGGTCTTGTATAATTCGCTTCGGGAGTAAAATTGATTATTGAAAAGGGATTCCATAAGAGGGTTTGCTACGAAACTACTTTTTTTTACCCTCACAGGTACTATACAAGTAAATCACTCACAGGAAAAAAGGGGGAAAAGGCAGAGGGTTTACTGCGAATTGTTATGACGAGGAAGAGAAATGTAGCACTTCAGTGAAACGAAGGCAGGGACGGAAGGCAGATGGCGCCGCGGCCTCGCTCTCGGAGCCCTGGTTCACTTTTTTCTTCCTCCATTCGAGATCTCTAGTGCTTGTCTTCCAACTCGGGTCTCTTGGAGGCTAGACCATTACCTCTGCTGACCCTCGGACTGAATTCCGGGCCACCCCTGGGCATGGTGTGCTCACACGCAAGCCCCCCTAAGCCTCCAGGCGGAAGAATCCCCAAGGTTCAAAGAGTATTAAGGTAGAGGCGTCCGGCGGGTTCCCTGAAGTGGCGAACCTCCAACGGAAGGGGGCGCCCTTGTCTTTTTAATAGCCCAAACCCACTTTGTAATGAAATAAATCTCTGTAACCCCAAATCTTTCGTTTGTTTTTAAATTATTGGGAATCAAAGTTCTGAGCGTCAAGAGTCTTAGGGCTCCTAACCCCCTCAGGACTCTACTAGAGTCAGCTCAGCCCCATGTGACCTTCCCCCTTCATATGAGGGGCAACACAGATGTATCCTTCCCCTTACTTATCTCATACCCTCCTCACATGCTCATCTGCGCTAAAGTCTCGCCATTTCTTAGGTCGGTTATCTTTAGGTGATATCTTTAGTCCGTGGTTCTGGTGAGACACTGGATAAGCACTGAACTGCAAACCACAAAGTCAACACACCAGCCACTCCTCAGAAACCCTATACAGAGTCGTTATGAATCGGAACCGACTCCACAGCACTTAACAGCCAAACAATATGTTTGGTCGGTCCAGATTCGACCTTCTGGGCGCAGAGGGGTGACACTAAAAGCTGCCTCCATGGGGCTTTTTGGAAGGAGACCGTGAAAGGCAGGCGAAAAGTAGCCTCTTTTGCGCGGGACATTTTACCTTACCGAAGAACTTAAACTGGAAGAGTGGACTTGGAAAATGTTTTTAGACTAAGACTTCCCAAAGCTTACACGTACTCTAACGAGACTAAGGAGACACAGGGAGAAGGTAACAGCCTGCCTTCGGGGTCTTTGCCCTCTATCCTCTTCGGTAAAGAGACATATATGCCTCTGTTTGCCCAGCTTCTCAGCTCCTTCCTTTCCGGGAGAGGAGCCGGGGCTGGGACCCCACCCGACCGACCCTGGATTGCTGCCGCCCCCAGGGTTTCCTGGAAAACTAAGAGAGCTAGCTAGCGCCTCAGTCCTCTGGCTGCTCGGTGGCTGCTTGGAACTGGGGTCCGGCGGGCCTATGAGCCAGATGACTTTTATGGGGCTCGACTGCGGGCCCCCAAGCCCGGGGTGAGGAAGGCCCAGCGCAAACTCGTGGGGTCCAGGATCACTTCTAGGTATTCGCAACCAGGGAGCCGCTGCTACAGAGCGGGAGATCCCATGTCCTTCTCATGCTTTGGGCTCTGCCCACGGGTGTCTGTCCCCAGGTTTCCGGAATCCAGTGCTGTGGGCCTCCGTCTACCTGGACTGGGAAAACACAGCTGCTCTTGTGGGGGTCGCAGGTAGGCAAACAGAAGCAGAATGGATGGTGAAAGGGCCATTTTCTGGTTTCTTCTCCTGCCCGGTTATAGCTGTTTGAGACGCTGCCTACAGGTTCTATTGCCACCTGTTCCATTACTACTGTTGGTGCCTGGGAGGGGCCGCATCCAAAAGGCTACAAATACCTGTTTCAAGCAGCTCCCAAATGCTCAAGGAACTTGTTTTGATCACAACAACCAGGAACTAACATTAAGATCTCTCTAGTTTCTCTTATCCCTGGATTGGTGAATTACTTTCTCAATTTCATTAATCTGGAGGGAAGGAAGAGAGATTAGGCAGCCCTGATAGTTTAATTTTCAGGAACATTTAAGAGTTGGGGGTGGGGCTTCTGAGACCAATGTGTACAACCTGGGAGTGGATAGGAAAGGAGGTAGAGGGACCCTCCAGCATTGTTGTCCTGACAGCTGACATTTTAGAAAAATGCTAAAAAGTAATGCAAGGGCAGAATTGAATCTGCCTTTTCTTCTTCCTGAAGCCCCCCTGTTGGCACAGTGAGGGGAGGTGGGACAGGCAGGGAGCATGTAAGGCTTTGTGAACAAAAAGAGGGTCTAAGAAGAAGCTTTCCTGCCACAAGTCTCCTTCCAAGTTTATTCATGATCAACTCAATCTATGAAAGCAAGTTCAAAAGTTCTCTACAGAGCGCTAGATAGAAATGGTGAGGCTAATTATCATAGCAATTCGATCTGGTGATAGTGATTATCACCAATGTCAGGATGAATGATTATGACTGGGACAGGCCCTTTGAGGCCATGGAGAAATGAGCTCTCAGCTAACTCACTCTACTAGCATATCATGGTACCAGGTTCCCCTTGAGGAACAGCCCAGGGAGCCATGGCATGGGAAGTGTGTCACCTCTGGAGGCCCCTCAGCAGAGTCCTGGGCCCCAGACTAGTTCTGGCAAGGTCCTGGTCTCCCTAGGACACTCCTACTTTTCCTCCCCCAACCCAGCCAGGGAGGTCCCTTAAGGGGTCATGCTGGTTTTGACCTTGGCGAGGACCTTTTTCTCCTTGACACGGCGGTTCTGAAACCAGATGGTGATCTGGCGCTCTGAGAGGCTGGTAGCCGCTGAAATCTTCCTCCTCTTTTCCTTGGTGATGAACTTGTTAGCCGCATACTCATGCTCCAGCTCCCGAAGCTGCCCCTTGCTATAGGGAATGCGTTTCTTTCGGCCCCTGCGAAAGGTGCAGCCATCAGAAGGGGGCTGCGTGTTTGAGTCTGCGTGACCAGAGGAAAAGAGAGAAAGACACGCTCAGCTCTTCACCCCTGTTTGAGAGCGGGAGGTCTCCAGGGTGTCTCCTGCAGGAGACTACCAAGGTACTACCCCACAGGCTTCCTGCTGGTTCTTTCATAACCACCCAGCTTTGGAAACACCAGGCTCCCAAAGACCACACTTACTCATCACTGCCCTCACACACCTCCCAGCCAGGCCTTTGCCCTGATCACTTACGTTTTCAGACTCTTGGCTACTCATAAGGATTCTCTGTAGGAGGGATCATGTTCCTTCCTCTCCTCCCAACATACATACACATCAATTCACACACCTAAACTATTGGTTGCAGGAATCTTAAATTTTTCTCCAAAAACTGAAAAACTCATCTAAAAGAAAATGAAGGATTGTATTCTCTACCCTACAGAACATTACAATCCTTCCACTCAGCCCCACCTCTGCCTACACATACACACATTCATACTGAAATTAGAGCAATTTCGTTTTCATGCAGAATGAGACTATGATTGTGCTTGAAAGGGACACCCTGCCACCAAAGAGAACTAATCCTCTCTCCCCTCCCATATGTACATTAAAAGGCTGGTTCCAGGGTCTCTTAGGCAAGCTAGGAAGTCTGCTGGCTTGCAGGCTTTAGAGGGCTCAGGCCCCTCACACTGATGCTCTCGGAACTCCATCCAGACCTTCCAGCTGCCTGGAATCTCCTTCAGAGTGCTAGTGGTCAACAGAGGAGGTCAGTCTCCTCCTCACCAACCCCAAGTCTTCCTTGTCTTCCCCCCAGGTTAGCACCAATGGGACTCACAACCTTATTCAGAATCAGGAGGTCCAGGGAAGTTGGGCAAGGTTACCTGCAAATGCCGCCTTCCAGAAGGGGCCCGGTGGGGTCTGTTCACCCTGGCAACACATCTGGCTGTTCCAGCTGCCAGCGAGGGCCCAGGGCTGGTAACTGTCCACCGGCAGCAGAGAGTCATGGCGGGGCTCCCCAGGGGCGCCCAGAGTCTGCACCACCGACACATCCAGGTAACTGGCCATAGGCTGGTAGGGTCCCGGATACCCCGGATAGAAGGCAAACTCGGTGGGGCGGCTGGGGTACTCCTCCCCTGCTGAGGGAGTATCAGGGGGGTAGGCGGCCAGGGTGGTTCCCTGGGCACAGGGTTTCAGCGAGCTCCGGGACACTCGGCAAGAGTAGTACCCGCCTCCAAAGTAGCCATAAGGTACAGGAGCTGGGGACGCCCCCTGGGGCACTCCAGGGCATGGGTGGCACTGCTTCGATGGCTCGGCAGAACCGGGCAGATCCAGGGGGGCATAGTTGGCAGCGGGCATCAGCGTAGGCGCTGCCGGGTGGCTGGTCAATGGAGAGTGGGTGACTAGATTCCGACCCCCTCCGGTTCCCAGCAGGCCTTCCATATCCTTGGCCATGTCCAAGGTGGCATAATTGCCAGGCTCCATGGGGCCGAGGGTCGGCTCATGGGGTGCTGGGAATGGGGATACAGGGGCACTCCGCTTGCTCTCCCCACCCAGGCCCCGGGGAATCCAAAGCTTTTAAATCGCTCGCAGCTCACAGGGCGCCTACATTCGCTGGGCCCAACAGTCTTTACGCAGGAGACGCAGAGGCCCGGGCACACGCGCTGATTGGCTGCGGCTTAGGGGAGAGAAGCTAATAAAATTCTCATGGCAGAAATTGCGAAAATACCCCCCGCCTCTTTTTTGCTCTCTTTCTCTCTCTCTCCCTCCCTCAATTTATTACATTTGAAAGCAACATGAGAGAAAAGGGAGGCGGTGTCCAGTTTGGAGACCCAGTTCCAAGAGGGGGAAGGGTGGGAGGCGCAGGGAGAGGGGACAGGGACAGGGAACCGGCCCCACCTCCGTCGTGTTCTCTCCCGGGCTCTCAGACTCTGGCGCTTTGGCAGGTTTAACGAGAGCATGAAAGCTTTCTCTATAAAGCGTCCATCTCATGGGGGAAGGGGAGTCGGGGGCGGGGCAAGGAGGCCACTCCGGGGCTGAAAAGGGAACCCAGGAATGCGTCCGAGCTAGAAGAGGCTGGAAAATGGGGGTTAGATGATTTTCCTGGAATCCCTCTACTTTGGGTCTCTGAAACAAGCACAACAGTTCACTCCAGATGCCCCTCCCGCCCAGGATGTGGTGTAATGAGCTTCCCTGGGCCCAGGTTGGTGCTTGGGATCATTCCCAGGAACCGCTGATATTGCCCAGAAGGCTCTGAATTCCGGGGTGGAGTAAAAGGACGGGCGAGGGACACGGGCTCTGACGAAGACGACGTGAAATTTTGAGCTATGGACGTGTAACGTCCGGATCTGAAGGGGAAATGGAACCCCTTAGCCGTGGCCTGTGAAAGCGGCTCTGGACTTGCGTTTATGGGTGGGAAAAGAGAGAGAGGCAGAGACATGCATGAAGACTCAGAGAGAGAGAGAGACTCAGGGGGCGGCAGCAGAGAAACAGAGATGTTGAAGCAGGGGATGGGAAAGGGTCTTATAAAATGCTGAAGTGCCAGTCAGAAAAGAGACTCTTTTTTTCTCCTTTTCTGGGATCTAGAGTTCTGGGAAGCCAAACCAACTGGCCATGAGCTAGTTGCTGGGGCTCTGGGTCCCAAGAATGCTGGAGCAAAGCAAAGAAAAAGAAATGGAGATGTGTAGTCACTCTGATCTTTCCCTACGGTTCAAGAGACTCAGGAAATACATCCTAGCATTGGCACACTCTCTAGCTGAGTGCCCAGAGAGACCCCCTTCTGCCTCCTCCAGACTTTAAATTTCCTAGAAAGGAAAAGGGGAGTAGGAGGAACAACCTAAACCCTGGTGTATTTGCTAGAGACTGCTTTGTTGGGGCCTATTTTGCAGTGAAATTCAGAAGACTCTAAAAGTTTGTTTCACCAATCTGTCTTATTCTGTTTTCATCATAGACTCTCCCAAATAAAATCCCTGTCACCTTATTCTAGAACCTCATTTTTTTCTGGAGAGGACAGCGAGCGACTTCAGCATCATGGAAATTTTATGGAACAGACCCTGAGTTCTGTCTGGGGTGGGTTCTCCATGCCCTCCCATCAACCTAAACTTGAATTTAAGCCATCATGTGGGAAGTCAGAATGGAAGAGGTTACTGTGAGTTGTAGGTCTGTAATAGCGTGTAGACCACCCTCAGTTAACGATGCTAATAATAATTAAAGGCACCAAACAGACTCCCTGCAAGAATTTGCTGTGTTTGAAAATAGCATGGGGACAATAACTTTGTCTCTGCTGCTTTCTGGTTTCTCATCATAACCCTTTGCTTGGCTACTTATAATAGGACAAAATACTAGGATTTTTTACTTCAAGATTAACAACTATTTTTTCTTAACTTTATAGATGATGGATACATAGAGCATTTCCACAGTTCAAGCAGTTATAGCATATATATGTTTATATGTGTGGTTAGAAAATCCAAGGGTATGTAAAAAAAAAACAAACACCTATAGTTATAACATAGTTATAAGATCATAGAAACCTTCCTTAAACAGAAATATCAAAATGCGAAGCTGTTTCTCAACATGTCCTCCATCTAGGTCTCTTCATTATAAAGACAGCCTCTTCATCTCACTAATGCTTCCTTGAAAATTTTTGCACTCTTTGATTTACAGGGCAGTTTGGCATCATCCAGAAACTTTCGTGGTGTTCCTTTTCAATATTATTTTAGCTTTGGGGACAAAAAGAAGTCTGAAGGGACAGGATGGAACTGTAGGTTAGGACAACCCTTGCTACCCTCAAGGAATTAGCAGGTACATTGTCAATGATGGCAAAAAAAAAAAAAAAAAACTCCTTGGCACAATTTTCTTAGCCTTTTTTTTAACCAATGTAGTTTTCAATTTTCATAAAACTTCTTCCAGATAAGTCCCCATGATTATCCTGTGACCTTTGAGAAAAATCTATCAAGAGTGATCCTTTGGGAACCCCCAAAACAGTCACTATAGCTTTCTAAATTTATGTCTCTGCCTTGAATTTAATTGACCCAGTAGCACTGCTCTGATTGAACCCCCTTTTCTTTAAGGCACCCTAAGAAGATTAACACAGTGTATTGCTGAGAGAACGTGTCGTGTCTGCAGCCACCAACTGACCAGAGACCAGAGACGTTTTAAACACATTTTGTTTAAAATAAACCTATGCATGTATTAAGGAGTTCTGGTAGCATAGTGGTTACGATTCGGGCTGCTAACCTCAAGGTTGGCAGTTCAAATTACCAGCTGATCTGCAGGAGAAAGATGAGGCTTTCTGCTCCCATAAAGATTTGCAGCCTCAGAAACCCTGTGCAGGGTCACTATGAGTCGGAACTGACTCCATGGTACTTAACAACAACAACAGCAATGCATGTATGAACTGGAACTCTATTAACAATACTCTGTTTACTCACTGTCATGTGTGTATGTGTTTGTGTGTGTGTGTATACTTGGTACAGGCATATATAGATTTCTAAATTTAAAATAATAAACAATCATAGTCCTACCCTGTTGTTGTTAAATGCTGTTGACTCGGTTCTATCTCATAGCAACCCTGTTATAGGGTTTCCAAGGAGTGGCTGGTGGGTTCAAACCACCAACCTCACGGTTAGCAGTCCAGTGTTTATTCTACAGTGCCAACCAGGACTCCTAGTGGTACCCCATCACCCAGCAATTGCAATCAGGGATATATAGCCTACAGGAATTAGTGTTTTTTCTTAATCAAAAAGAATGTACTAGAATGTCCATAGCAGTTTATTCATAAAAACTGTGGGCTAATGAGTCAGACTGCAAAGTTGTTTGAACTGCAAGGTCCCTGGTTCAAGTTCACCAGCAAAACCAATCCATGGAGCTAGAGGTCAGACTAGAGATTACCCTGGAGAGAGGGACTCCTGATTGGGAGGGGAGGAGCCTTTTGGAGTGCTAGACATACTCTCCATCTTTTCCTGGATGATAGTTAAAGGGTGTGTTCACTTTGTGAAAATGTATCATGCTGTACACTCGAAATTTTTGTACTTTAATGTTCATGTTATATCTCAATTTTTTCAAAGAAAACAAAAATGTTAAAGCTTGCTGCAAGAGGCTCTGCAACTGAGCTTTTTGGATATCTATGTTCCTACCTGTGTCCATAGAGTCCTGGTGTGGCACTGTGGGTTAGTGCGCCAGACTGCAAAGCCATTTGAACTGCAAGGTCGGCAGGTCGGCAGTTCAAGCTCACCAGCTGCTCCTCGGAAACCCTCTACAGGGTAGCTATGGGTCGGAGCCGACTCAACAGCACTAAACAACATTATCTGTGTTCATGGAAATGAGCAGGTGATACAGAAATGACCAACTCAAATCTTGCCCCTGAGAAACTCACCAGCTGTAAACAGACGCTACATTTCAATACAAAGAAGTAAATAATTTATGGGAGTCTCCACCCCCTCTAAAGTCCTGGTATGGCACCTTGGGTTAATGCGCTGGCCTGCAAGGTTGCTTTGAACTGTAAGGTTGACGATTCATGCTCACTAGTCCCTCCTCAGAAACCCTATACAGGGTCTGTATGAGATGATACTACCTCGACAGCACTTAACAACAAGAACTACAAAATTCATTAAGCATTTACTAGATCCGAAGGCACATTCTACTACATTTATTAGCACGTGGGCACATGTTCTTCTCTCTTGCACATATATATGTATGAACATCTGTATGTGATACCATTGGAGTCAGACAAGATAGGATTAAGTCTCTTTATCTGTAAAATGGGGATAAGAACTCCAACTTCACTTCACAGGAGTGTTGTGAAGATTAAACTAGACTGTGCACATGAAAGCATTTTATAAACTGAATAAATATTAGGCGTTCTGTGAGTGTTCCGGGATGTATATCTGTTTGTAATGATTTATGAGCCACCTAATTTTCTTTGAAAAGAGGAGGACAATCTTGAAGAGTGCTGGTCACTTCTCACTTGCCCTGAGAAAGTCTGACGTCTCAAAGAAGAGAAACTGAGGCTCCTGAAACTGATCCTCTCTGGGTCTTAATGTGAGTTCCGAGCCAAAGTTCTCCGCACAACTCAGGCATCCAGATCTTCCAGTCCTTGAGGCAGCGCCTGCCCTTCCCCCAGACCCACAGGTGCTTTTGTGCCCGTCTCTCTGGCAGACTCCCAGCAGACCCTCCCAGTGTCCGGAGCCTCCAGCCACCCCCCCTCTTCCCCCGTCCTACTCCCACCCCACCCCCACTTTTATGGACCCGCCAAACGCGTAGAAAGCCTTGGCCTACTCCTTTACATACCGGCCAGACACCTCGAGGAAGGTCAAGGCCAAGTTGAAAGTTAAGAGTCTGATTACCTCCGGGAGCCTTTTCAGCTCAGCCCTACAGACTACCGTGACCGTTACAGCCCGGCCTTTGAGTGCCGCCGCCGCGCCCCCCGGGGGTTCCGGCCACCCGGACTTGGCACCTCTGTGTCAGATCCCGCCCCTTCCAGGGTTGGGGACTCACCAACCGGCGTGTGTGTGTGTGTGTGTGTGTGTGTGTGTGTGTGTGTGTGAAAGAGAGAGAGAGAGAGAGAGAAAGTGGC